GTCTTAATGGTGGGACTAAATATGCCCTAGAATAGGACTTCTCCCCCTCAATGCTGCAGGCATTTTGGACTGGAGTGTTCTCCATCAGAAGGAAGAGAGCTGGGCTGTGTATTGGAGGAAGTTAACACCATTGGAGCTTGGGGAATAAGTCAGTAAAGTACATGCTATGCAAACAAAAACTTGATCCCTAGAAAATATATTTTAAAGAAATAGTTGGACTGGTGGTATGCTCTCTCATAGTCTCAGACTTCAAGATGCTGAGAAAGGTAAGTTCCTAGGGTTTGCCAGTCTAACCAAACCAGTGGTTTCCAGGTAAAAGTGATAGAGAGACCCTGTCTCAAAAAAAAGCAAGGTGAATGGCATCATCCAAAGTTGACTTCTGGAATCCATAGATATTCACACACATGCACACAATCGTGCACACACACATTTACATACACAGAAGATAGAAGCATCTATGACCATTAGCAGTGGCATCCTCCTCCAAGCATCCATCACCAAAACTGTCTCCAGGTATCACCATGGAGCAAAGCCATGGTACTTGAGAACCATTACTCTGCACCAGAGCCTCAGCTAGACCTTTCACAGATCTCCCCGGTAAACCCCAGCAGGTCCAAGCTGTCTGCAAGCTGCTTAGTCTGCTACCAGAACCCAGCCAATACTCTTTACAGAAGCAGAACAAGATCAGACATCCAACAATGCAAAAGTCACAATAGCTGACATCCAACTGAAAAACTGCCTCGTACGTAATGAAGAAAGAAAACACAACTCATAACAGGAGGCAAAACGATCAGTAAAAATAGATGGGGAAGTAAGAAGGGTGAGTGTCACCAGCAAGAGCTTTGGACCCCCATTAGTGTTTGCCTCATGTACTTGGGAAGGTAGAGAGAATTGTGAACCAGAGAGAAGTAGGAGCTGTAAGGAGCCGCCTAGGAATTGTTTTACTTTGTTTGCTATTTGGTGTTGATGCTCTGATATTGCTCTGGGCCCACTGAGTCACAGTGGTCTTAGCTCGGTCACACATATAGAGGGACTTTCAAATGTCACCATGACTCTTCTAGGTAGCCAGACTTTTGCTGGCAAAAGTCTCCTCACTAGATTGTAAAAAGTAATAATAAGTAGAAAATAAAAAATCAGATGGTGAAAGAGGCTTAGGTAAATAGTGTTTCCCACATATAACACCTTCGCCTTGCTCGTTTCCTGAAGACAATGTTTAAAACTGTCACCCATCAGAAAACCGACAGGCAAGCCTCAGCCTTCAAGCTCTGGCATGCACCTATTACTAGATAGGTCTCAATAACCTTTTGAGAGGTTGTAATGAATATTATAACGGCAAATTGTCATGTTTTATTTGAGATCACCAGGGCTGGCTCTGGAGTGTGCATTCCCAACCCCATTTTAGACCAAAGCATGTTTGTCTCAAAGACTTCTCTGAGGCCCTTTGTCTGGGGATGAGTCACCCACCCCAATTCTGTTTCAGGGGACACAAAACAGCCCATGAGCAAAACCTTTAGTTTTTGCTAAAATTGTGACCTTTAGAACAGTGAGAAGGTGAACTGTTTCCAACAGAGGTTACTGTTGCTTATCTTGGGATATAAAAGAGTCTGCACTGGGAAGGAGAAGCTGGACGGCCAACCATGGGGAGGATGCTCAATGGAGAACAGCTGACTGCCTCAGCCTTCCCAATCAGTTTCTGTTGGATGTTGTGAGCACCCGATTCCATAACATTATCTACATCTACTCCTTTTCCTTTGGAAGCCTCACCTGAGGGTCTCCCCACCCTCATACCCTCTACCCCCGCTCTGCTGGAAACTCCAACGGACTGCCTTATCAGGGCTTCCCTAGTTGGTTTCTGCTAGATGTTTGTAAACCTTGATTTGGTGACGTCACCTTTTTGTTGTTATTAGTTCTTTTCCTTGGAAGCATCTCTGGATGAGTCAGTCTGCTTTGCCCAGTGTAGTCTCTACAGGGAACACCAGCTGACTGCTTTAAAGGGGCTTCCCCATTTTGGCAAGATGTTCTGAATGCCCAGTTTGGTAATGTTTTGCCAACTATGTATCTATTTCTTTATCTGATAATTGCTATTTACTCTTTTAATTTGGCTTGTTGTATACTTAATAACTTACTCAAAACCAAATGTATGGGTGCTGTAGCTTATTCCCTGCACTCTGTAGAACAGAGATACTTAAACAACCCACCCTGGGAGATGCATATCAATCATACAACTCTATGGCTTCTCTTCCCATGGTTGGTGAAGCCATCGGAGCCTTTTCGTGGGGCACCTCAGGAAGGTATGTTCATCATGTGAGCAGCAAACATAGTTTTTAGAGGGGACTATCCACATCCACCTATGGCTTGGTTAATTTCTTAACCATACAGAACACTTAAAGAAGAATTTCCTTAACACATAATGTCCCTGTTACTTTGGGGTACATTTGGGGTCAAGAGGAATCCAAGCTTTGCAAATATCAGGCACTGGGATCTGCAACATTCCCACTCTCATCTGCTTCCTGCCTTGGCCATCTCTCAGCACCGGTTCTTCTCATGGCTCCAACTGAAGACAGTTTAAGGAAGAGACTAGATACACCTGGACCATGCCTGGGCTGGAGTTAACCAATCACTGTTCTCCCAAATGAATGGCGATGTCTCCAAGCATTAACACAGCTCAGGACTAAGACCATGGTTTGAGAGAATTCCCCATCTATAGAACTCATCCTCAGATCAGCAGACTCACAGTTTCCCCCAGGAACTTGACATCAGTTTAAAAAAAAAATTTTTCACTTTTGTTGAAAAATGAACCCATTTCTTTTATCTAGTACCCCTGTGGATTGAGAGTTCATCCCAGCGACCTTGCTCATTTTCTACCTCATCAGTCACTTTATGGCCAAGCCCAGGTTAACAGGAAACCTCTGAGTTGATGGAGGAGGAGAAGTCACCGAGCTGAGTCCAATGGCAGGCTGGGCTGTTAATTGGTCTTTCGGGTATGTTCAGCTTGGGAAATGGAGCACCAGGGCTTCTTTTTCCTACCCCTTCTAAACAGTACTGACACGCCCCAGCGAGGATAACTGTAACAGCTCAATGGCTTTAGACTATTTTAAATTCTTGAAATGTTTACTACTGAACTTTGGAGATGAAAAATGTCAACCTGAGATAAACACAGGACCCCTAAAAGATATCTGTATTCTGTAAATGGTACCAGCCGTAAGCGGCTGTCTCTTCAGAAAGTAAACACATGAAATCTGATAAGAAACGAGATCATACACAAAATAAACTGCACTCCACTCCCAGGCAGCAGACAGATGCGATGTGTTTGCCAGACCAGAGAAGATGCCTGGCTTGTGGGCCTCCTGGGTACATCTCCATCACCTCCATCCATGTCTCCCCATTCGAAAATTCAGAAGGTCAGGAAACCTGGATCCTATTCATTGTCTTCAAACTTGGCCAGCCTTTGAGCTCAGGAAGCAAGCCCTGTATACACCATGTCTTATATATAGATTCAGTAAAAACCATCCACCTGGTTAGTCTGTTAGCTGGAGAGTGGCCTAGGGTTCATTTAACACACATGGCTAGGCTGTTGGCTGTTAATGATAGTAAACATTTCAGCCACAGAAACATGTAGTTGTAGTGATCAGCATATTTGAAGTTTTCCCACCAACTCTTGCAAAACACTTTTTTTCACATTGCTTTCAGTGTGGCTACAATAATAAAGGAATGAAGAAGTCTTATTTATGAAAAATAGAATGCAAGAGAGGGTATTCACTAGGAAGGTTTAAAACGGAGCCATGAACACTACTGTAAAATGCATGATGAGATCATTCAACAAGTTTTCTCCTCTCCGGGGGACTGGAAAATAGCCACAACGAAAATTATACAATGATAAAATTCTGTCCCCATCCGATTAATTACTTGTGAATAATAACTTCTCTGGTTTCTTTCAATTATATTCTAATTGCACACCTTTTGCTCTGGCTGATTGGGCAATGAATTAATGAATAAGGACTACTACTGAATTTAATTAACACCATTTTTTCCTGTGGCCTTTACATATCTGTTGTGAACATGGAAATTCACTTGACCAGGACTGGAACTGGAAGAAGGCTAGCCTTGAACCCTGCAAAACCTGTTCCTTCCAGTCAGGCTGGCTTCTCTGCTGCCAAGTGTGGATGACTCAAGGTCTCAAGTATCTGCCTGAACTCAGGGGAGGGCTTTCCTAATAACAGCATCAATATTCAAACACTTACCTTTTCATAAAGCATTAGCAATGTGCATGTTACAATCATCCAAAGAGACGGGTAAGTGAGCTATCTGGGAGTCAATTACAGTGTCATTCATAATTTATTCCATGTACAATGAAACGCTGATCAGATTTCATGTGTGTTTACCTTCTGGAAAGATAAGCACTTATGGCTGGTACCCAGAGTAGAATACAGATATCTTTCAGGGTGATGTGTTTATCTCAGGTTGACATTTTCAATCGTCAAAAGTCCTCCCCATTTTCCAAAAAAAGTTGTCTGGGCTTGAAAACTAAAGCCCATGCTTTACAAAGAAAAGACCAGTCTGGAATCTTGCTATCTCAACTCCAGCAAGAAAGTCATGAATATGCGCCCTCTAAACACACAGGCAGACAAATAGACGTTTCTTCCGAGAGGCAGATAAGTGCAGACTCCCAGGGCTAACAGGAGTGGAATCACAGGCGCGCTGCAGTCCCCAGGTGTGGATACCAGCGACCCACCCCGGAAACCTTGGAGCAGAGTTCTCTTGTCAATTGTATATCGATCACATTCACCCAGGGTGTTATCCCCTCCAACATACTGCAAAAACTGAAATCCTATGTTAAAGGATTTTTTAAAGTATTTTCCAAGATACAAACAAAGCAATGTTTTTGCAAGACCAGAGAAGACACATGGCCCGAGGGTCTCGCACATCGCCCTCCATCAGTATCTCCAAGCTCTGGGGGCAGCTGCCCCCCCTCCCACCCGCCAAGCCAGCCCCAGCTGTACCTCATATCTGCTGACTTGCTGCTCAGCCACCTTCAGCCCGGGGCACATTTGGATGAAACAAACTTTGGCTCTTCTCTGGGAAGGAAGCCAGTCCCTCTTCACCAAATCCATGACCATTACATGGTTTTTCAGGCTGGTACTGAAGGCAGTTATCTGAAAGGTGGGGAGCACAACCTTCCCCTCCTCGGGAGGCTTCCCGGGCATTCCGGAGCACTGTGTGACACTGGGAATCTTGTGACTTCAGCGAGCCAGCCCGGCAAACACAATTTTCTTTGTTAGATGCAGGTATTGAGTGCAGCAGGAGGGGTTTGGGACCAGCTCCAGTGCAGGCCTGTGTTTTCCAACTTCACAGACAGTTGATCCAAAAACCCTTGCTGCGGGGGGCTCACGAGAGAGTTGTGGAAACCCCTTGGGTGACCTTTAAATGCCACGAGAAAACTTCCTCTGCTGCAGCCCGGCCAACTCCAGCCTCCCGCCTGGGCTCTGAGGTCTTGCTGTCTTCTCTGATTTCAAAGAGGCACGCTTCTTTCTCACTTGCTTTCTGCTGGCCTTTAAGTTCCAGACTCTGAATTCACCTGGTTACCGAGAGGTTCAATATGGGTTTCCATCTCTAGACCCTCAAATCCAAATAAATTATTTACAGAGCTCTGAACAAAGGAACCAGGAGGGATAATTGCTGCTCTTTTAGAATGCCTGCTTTTGCTTGGCAGGGGCCTGAAAGGAACTCATACAGACTGCCCACCGGCAGGCACAAAGTGTGGCCTCAGTTCTGCAAAAAGTAAAAGCACACTCAGGGGAAAAGGGGCTCACAGAAGTGACAGCTGGAGGTGGGCATGCAGAGACACCGTGCCTGGAAGGAAGGCTCAGGTAGGGGCTCCCATCCAGAGTCATCCGTGGACGACTTCTTGAACCCTGAGCCTCAGTTTCCCCCAGGAAGAGCACTGGGATAGAACGGCCCTCCCTCCCTGCCCCTCCCCAGGTTATGAGGATCAGGTGAGCTACATGACGAGGAAAGAGCTGTGTGTGCCTGGAGCTGGCGAATGTGCCAGAGCTGTGGTACACATGGCTCTTAAGAGATAGTTACAGTTTCTGCTCAAAAATTATTTTGCACAGTTCTCTCTCCACAGCAGAACCCAATAGTGCCATGCTTATGAAGGTTTACTTTATGCAAAAAGTTGCCGGGCGGTGGTGGCGCACGCCTTTAATCCCAGCACTCGGGAGGCAGAGCCAGGCGGATCTCTGTGAGTTCGAGGCCAGCCTGGGCTACCAAGTGAGCTCCAGGAAAGGCGCAAAGCTACACAGAGAAACCCTGTTTCAAAAAACCAAAAAAAAAAAAAAAAAAAAAAAAAAAAAGTTATTAGATTCTGAATGTCAGGCTGCTTGGAATACAGTCGAAGGAGTGCCGCCCATTTTCATTTCCTGTGTTGGGGCCATTTCTATTCAGCTGGTCTTGGGAGCCGTTAGTCAAAGGGTGTGCACAAGACAAAGCAGATGGCAAGGCACAGAACTCTTCTTGCAGGGGACTTCTGCCTGGCTTTCTCCAAGGATGACCTTGTGGAAACTTTACCTCACCCCACATTGCAAGCCAGGGAAGGGTGAAGGAAGAAGGCCTTGGTGATTTTCCCAGAAGCAGAGCTCAATGTCAGCTAACACCTTGCTTCTTCCTGCTGTGTACAGGGTCTCTGCAAGTCATAGTCCGTCGCTAGGGCCTGGATGCTGGGGTTTTAGACTCCTGTTACTGGGGGCAAGAGTTGACTGTTGAAGCTGAGAACTGAAGCTCAGGAGGAGATGGGAAAGGCTTGAGGTCATCTCCACCAGTGTCTGCAACTGAGTGTGACAACAGTATGCACAGACTAAATACCAGCCCAGGGTCACAACAGCATATCTACTGTATTCATCTGTGACTCTGGCTTCCCTAAAGACATCAATAAGAGCATAGAACCCAGCTGGTGGCAGGCTTTATTCACACTGGAAACTCTCCAGGGAGGCTAAGAATGCCGTGTTGGATTTCAGAAGCAATAGGATGAAGGCAGCCAGGGGAAAACATAAAGTAATTAATTTTATTGAAGACCTCAACAAAGAAAGGGATCTGTATACCTGGTTTGGGCTCTGAAGGTCTAACCCACTGCCTCCTCAAAAATCTGCTTCTGGTACCTCTGAGTTCCCGCCCAGCAGGTCCTGCAGGTCTGAGAACAATCAAGACTTTTCTTCTAGTACCACAACAGACTGAAGGACTCTGAGCCATGTAGAAGCTACCAGAGCTACCTATCCAGAAGTTCCAAGAGCAGCCAGGGGAAGTTTACTCAAGGTTGGCTGGTTGTTATGGTAACCAGCTCTCTGAGGCAGATGATGAGCTCACCTGGCCTGTGGGTGACTCCCCCCCCCCCTCCACTGAGTGCTACAGTGGCTGCTCACGGGACACAGTTGTAGTGTGGCCAAATAAAGGTCTCAAGAGTCTTGGCCAAGAGAGCTGAATGGAAGTCTGGAGGCCATCAGTGTGGGAAGTCAGGATGGAAGGCCAGAGAGCAGGGAAGTTGAATGAGAAGTCAGAGGGCTGGAGCAACCACTGATAGACAGTTGGGAGAGGAATTTGCATGGATGACCTAACAAACACATGGATTTGGATGAGGCTCCATGGCTCCAGCATCAGCCCCCTTTGTCAGCGGCGGCCCCCTGGTTGTTTTGACAGCCTTAGACTTAAGAGTATATCCGTTCAGACCATTGCAGACATACATCGGCAGAGAGCTTCTCTTCCCACCTGAGGCAGAGTCTCGCCTCCTGACTGCGCTGGGATTACAGATGCACATCCCCACACCTGCCTTTACAAGGGTTCTGGGAATTTCAATTCAGGTCCTCATGCTTGTGAGCCATCTCCCCAGGCCCTCTTTTCCTTAAAGTGAACATCTTGTGCACTATGAAAATTAGACCTCTGCTTTGCTAATGTCCTGTGGAAGGTCCAACCGAATCTCCCTAAATGGGCCCTAAAAGTGACTAACTGAAACTGATATTGGTGGCCATTGCTGTTCCATGACAACCAGCCCCAGCAAGCCCCAGCCTCAAATACGTTCACAGTTGGGACAGATGGGGAACAAGGTTCTTACTCTCCATACCCTGGATGTGATATACAGAGTTGCATAGAACATGCATCGAAGTATTTAAATAATGAATTATTCAAAAAGAAAGGGAACTGTGGGTACCTGGTGCCAGAAATCCATGCTTGTGAATTCTTAATCTGTTCTCCGGTGGGATTACCGTTTACAACTATGAAAGACGTCCTAATTATGCAGCTTCAGCGTTGATTTCCTGCAAGGCCTCTGTGCTGATCTAAAAGGCATTAGGCAACAATAAAAACAGATGACTATGGAGTTCTGAATGCATAACCAAGTCTCCCTTTTGGAGGGGAAGACACTTCACCTATAACTGCCTCACTCATCAGGTGGGAACTGAAGTTTGTCTCCTGGTACAAGGGCTGACTGCCGGAGCATCTTTTAACACAAATAGATAAGTGTAGGAGCCACACAGGACTGTGGCAAACCCACATACCCTTCTGTTAGTTGTTCCTGCTAGAACAAAAGAGAAGGATTGAGATTGCTGTGTCTATGGTGTAGGGGGAACTGGGCTTTTTAACATAAGAGGAAGGAACTGTGAGTTTATTTGGTCTTCCATCTGTTGCTACATATTTGGGCTGTTTTGAGTGATTGCCTCAATGTGGTGGGAAAGGGGGAATCTTTCAGCCTTCAAGTGTAAGTGTGGGATGGTTAGTATTAATTGTACACTTGACAGAATCTAGAATCATCTAGGAGAGTGGCCTCTGGGCATGCCTGTGGGGGGTTATCTTGATTGTGTTCATTGAGATGGATGGAAAGACTTGCCCACTCTGGGCGGCACCATTCCCTATTGGGATTCTAGACAGTATAAGTGGAGAAAGGGTGCTGAGCAGCAGCATGCATGGATCTCTGCTTCCCCAGTGTGAATTCGATGTGACCAAACTGCTTTAAGACCTTGCCACTTTGACTCCCCACCATGATGGATTATACTTTTGAGATATGACTCAGGATCAACCCTTTTGTCAGCATATTTCATCACAGTAATGGGAAAAGTAACTAAGTTATTTGTTCAGTAGATGTGGGAAATAGGAGATGTTATATAGATATTTCCTCCTGATTGAAACACTTCCTCCTTGGGGTGTTCCTGAGGCTCCTCAAGACTCCACAAGCTCAGAACAACACAAGACTCACAGGCTGGTCCCTAGGGTTCTATAAGCAGTAAGCAACCGATGGACAAGGAGAGAAGACTCTCTAGTGGAGCCACCTGTAACATATACATGGAGCTCCATGGATGCAGTCACCAGCCGTACCAGGTGGGCTTTCCATGATGTGGCTGCTTTCGAGTGACCCCCATCCCTGTAAGTAACTCCTCATACATGCCACTGTAAGTAACCCCAATAAACTCACTGCTTCCAAGCTAGATTTGAGTAAAGTCGTCTCCTTGTTCTATCGTCATGTGGGGTAAATAAACATCTGTTTATGTCTTCCCAGGAAAAGTCAGCAACAAAAAGAGTTGATGGTTTTATGCACCACTCTCTCTATTGGGAACAGAAACTTTCCCCTACTTCCTTTGGAGTGTTTGGAAATCGTGATAATTTGATGTTTGGGAAGTGGCAAACACAGGGGGTGGGGGTGGGGACTACAACAGGAATCCCAGCAATGTTGGCACATCCACCGACATCATTCACTTGCCCCCACTTCTGCAAACAATCGAGAATCATTTATTTAGCACCCACTGGGTGTTCAGTGCTGTGCCAACTGCTCTGATTAAATATTCAAAGCCACTTCTAATGTCGCTGAAAACCAAAGCAACCTGCGGTTAGGGGAAAATCATATTTTTCTTCTTCAGATCCACCGGGAGGAGAGAGTTATTTGAAGACAATGCACGGTGTTTTCCTATTTTCCCTCCAACATCTCTAATGGATCTTGACAAAGAAAAGCCATGACTTTAGAAATTGCATTTGATTTTAGAGAGTAGATCTTGACAAGCAGGAGAGAGGAGGGTTGCAGCTGACTTTTTCCGGAAATATTAAACCCAATTTCCTGTTTACATCCTAGAGCAATTTAACTCAACAAGAAGAGTTAGTTGGCTGCCACTCTCCTCTCCACAAAGAACGGCTGTGCCTTCCTCTGCCAATGCACACAAGGCAGCTCTTTGGTTACAAGC